AGCAGCGCTGTGGGCATGGAGCTGCCTGCTCCCACCCCGCCGGGGCGCATGCAGCCTCGCACCCTGTTTGCCCGGAACAGCACATGTTTGGGATACGGTATCCCATCCAGAAAGCCACCTTGGGCTTAATTCACTTTTGGACACCTGACTGTTTTCCACTTAAGATCTCCAAGAAGAAACTGTGCGCATTTATGGCCCCCTGAATTGTGTATTTTTGCTAGTAGAAGCTCACGCACGGGGCTGTGTCTCGCCGTGTGTGTACCAGAGGGGCTGCTGTCCCTCTTAGCTCAGGATGTGACCACAGGGAAATAGTACAGAGATAATGGCTTGTCCACACTGGTTTTCCTTTCCTCCAGCTGATAGACCGAGCCACCAGCCCTCGCGATGAAGGTGATCCCAAAGCTGAGCAGAAGACCCTGGAGGAGAGTTGGCAGGACTTGGCCTTGATCAAGGCGACACCAAAACCCCCCAAGAAGCAGAGAAGGGAGGACCTCAGCGAGCCTCTGCTCTCTCCGGCTCGGCCGCCGGCGCCAGGTAGGGCTCGCAGTGTGTGTGCCGGCTGCCGCCGCGGCTGGGAAGATCACCTTGGTGTGCTCTGGGCCGGCTGCGCCGCTGTTCCCGGCAGTCCGGGAGCTCCGCGTTATTTTTAGCTGAGTGACTGGAAAGCTGACCCGATTGAGCCTGCCTTCCTGGGAGGCTCCTGAGCCGTGGCCCCTTTTTAGGCAATGCCTATGGTAATGGCACCTCTGGTACAGTCCTGGGTGCCTCGGCCACCGCGGCGTGGTGGAGGCTTTGTTTCCTCTGGAGCGGTGTCTGCTGCGCTGGTTTTCTGGGTCAGCTTTGTGTAGAGGAAGGTGCGCTCGGGAGCTGCCGCAGACAAAGGCTGCCTTGTCCGGCTGCCTAGAAAGGCGGTGTTTTTCCAAGTGGAAGAGCAGCCCACCTCGGTGCAGGGGAGGTCCTGAGATAGCAGACCCAGAGCAGGATCGTTCGCAGGACTCGAGCAATCAGGCGGGCAGCAGGGCAGGCTGGATGTGCCTGAGCGGTCTCAGCGGGGCTGAGCCTCACAGGGACCCTGGCAGCGAGTCCCTTGCCCAGCAGCTGGTGCTTAGCCTGGTTTTACCCATCTGTAGCCGGGGGGGTGAGGCTGGGCGCTGTTGGGATTCATTTGGGCTCTGTCTTGGCTGAGAAATGCCGTTAACATCGCAGGGCTCGCTGGTGGCCCTCTTGGCAAGGTCAGCCCTATGTCCAGAGAGGTGGGCTGTGAGCTGGGCACCCACCTCATGCCTCCCCCTCGGCTGCGGCAGGAGAAGCTGCTGCTGTAGGTTGCAGACAGGTTGCTGTAGGCTGTGTCTTCTCCCTTCCCTCCACCCCGTCCCCTTCTCACAGAGCCCAAGGTCTGCTCTGCCCCTCTGGAGATTCCTCTGGTCGAAGCCAGCCCTCCACGCTGCCTCACGCTGCAGGAGAAGCTCCTCTCGCACTACAGCAGCCAGCTGGCTGTGCCCGAGGCGCAAGCATCCCTTGCCTCGCAGCTGGCCAGGGGCATCTGCACCCAACTGCAGAACTTCCTGCGGAGCAAGTGCCCAGAGCTGCCCTTCGGCAGCCTCTTTCTCAGCGGTCCCCTGCTTGACGGCCTCGGGGCTCTGGTGGCCGACCATGTCCACCTCATGCTGCCAGTGGTCCTCGATGCTGCGCTCTGGAGCCTCATCCCGGGAGAGGACACTGTGGTGAGGAACCCCCAGTACTGGATGATCAAGAGGACTGATCTGGAGTATTTCCCTCGTGGGCACAGCCCCTGGGACAGGTTCATCGTGGGCCGGTACCTCTCCTCCAACGCACTCCACGAGACCCTCCACAAGATGCTGGTGGCCACCATCAACTGGCCTGCCATAGGCAGCCTGCTGGGGAGCATCATCCACCCGGTTGTGGCCTCCCGGGAGCTAAAGCTGGAAGTCAAACACGATCAGGTCGAGCTGAGCATCACCCTCTTCCCAGTAGTGGAAATGAAGGACAAGGTTCTTCTGGCTGTTCCTCCTGAAGGACTGGTGGAAAACCTCTGGCTTGAGAGCTTTTACAGGGCAGAGGTCTCAAAGGTGAAGGAGCTGGATGCCAGCGACGCCGGGGCTCGGCAGCACTGCCTCTGCATCCTGAACGGCATCTGCAAGAGCCATCCCGCCCTGCACAAACTGAGCGGCAGCCCCTTGACCCACGTTGTCCTTCACCTCAGTGCCACCGGTTTGGACTGGGCAGAAGAAAGCCTTGCTGACAGGTTCCAGCAGGTGCTGGAGGAACTGGTAGGCTATCTGGAGAAAGGGGTCCTGCCTTCCTATTTCAACCACAAAATCAACCTCTTCTGCGAGCTGTTGGAAGAGGAAATTGAAGAGATGGGCTTCACGCTCTACAGGGCCATATCTGAGCCAGAGC